AGGAGGATCCTCATCAAGCCAAGGAAATAATTATTTGGTATGTAGGTACTTAAGTGGGCTAGCTGCTGCACTCAGATCAAACGCTACAATTAGGATGGTCTGCACCAGGGGCTATTTTTCACATAGGCAACCAGTGAACTGCCTAAGGGAGTGCAGTATATATACTGCAAATGTATATACATTTTTCAGGAGCACAAGGATGCCTGACTTCCTCTTAGTTGTTTGGGTGGTTAACACATAAACCTTTATCTTAGTTCTGTAAAGCTGGGTTATCTGAATTGTACTCCTTAAGCCGGCGCCATGAGTGCCATGAGTGCCATGAGTGCCATGACCCAAAAATGAATCTGGGACCTTGCGACACAAGTCCTCATCCTTAACGAATGGCTATTTCAGTGAAGGTCAACTTTTTAGCCAAGGTAGACAAGCGTAAGTTGTGGGGCCCTGACCTACAGATGAAGTAGAAGTTCGCTCCACTTGCTCCTGGGGACCTGTGTAACGACGCAAATGCCAATCTGAGCATCCCGGGTTACGTCTTTGCTGTGTTACAATGGTATCGAGACGGGACTGCACGACTTCCGTAACAAACTTCGGGTCGGCGGTTCGATTCTGGCAACCAGCAAGTCGCAAATTGGCGATTTCATGGTGTAATGGATAAACCAGCGCACTGGCGCGAGGTGGGATGGCTCCTGTGCTCGAAATAATGGCCGAGGACGTCCATTGCTAAGTGGGGGGCAATGTAACGACGCAAATGCCAATCTGAGCATCCCGGGTTACGCCTTTGCTGTGTTACAACCTGACACCCTAGATGAAGCTCTGTCACGAACCGCCAAGTGCCGGGACCATAACAACTTGCAGAGAGCCTTTTCGGGAGCTGTCTGGTTGACCCTACGGTGAAGCTGCGGGTTATTTTGGTGTGCCTCTTGGGCCTCTATCTGGCTCGTGTTTGGGCACTCGTCTATCTGGGTAACACAACTGAGGTCAACACACACACACACACACACACATGTGCTGAGTAGTGGGAGCTGTTCGGCCCCCACACATGCTAGTGCTTGCTGAACTCTCGCAATTGCCCTTGTATTACTTGGGTGCCGATCACGAGTGCATTATTGATTTTTGGAATAAGACAGTCACCCAACCGGGTCCCTCAGCCATGCCAGGGGGTGTCCTTCTGGGAGATCTCGCAGATGGCTGGGGATTGAAGCTCTTCCGCCTCTTGAGGGGCATGCATATTGATGTGTGGGATGGCTTACCCGCCGGGTTTACATATGATGATAGTAAGAATTGGTGTACCGGAAAGCCCGCCCTGAGGGAGCAATCCTTTTCAAGCCCCACCGAAGCCTTTTGAAGGCATTTCCGGAGAAAACCGAACGATATTTCAGCGTAAATTTGCATGTTTTCGGGCGCAGACGGGGCCTGGAAACCGGGCTTGCCGTATAAGGCCCGCTTGGTCACCAGTCTAACAACAAGTACAAATGTGCATTGCGGCTGTTTCGCAGCTGTATCGCAGACATTTTCATACATGTAAGCATATCCATATGCCACATTTTCATACATCTAAGCATATGCATAGGTAAACATGCCCGAGTCAGCTGATGATGCATCTCCCTCGGGATTCGCGGCTTCTTTAAGGCATCTCGTAAGTTCCTATCATACAAATAGTATATTAGTGGCGCTATGAAAGTACCTGGGTAACTGATGCGGAGTTTACACCTATGCAGAGAAATCCCCAGTCGCTTCTACTCCTGCTGCTAATGGCAAAGCTGCTGAACATCTTTCAGTGAACATTGACTGTAAGTTTCGAGAAGGTCGCTGCAAATTCCAAACGTTTTGTCGACCGACAGTCTTGCATCGTTATTATGAATGTAGTCAGAAAACCAACCAGCAATCGCTGTTATACACCGCAGCAGCACCTGGGCAGCCAATGATGGCTCAACCCCCGCCTGCTCAGGCTGCACCTGAGGTGGTCGACTTGTCAGGCAAGCTATCGAAGGCGCCTGTCTCTGACATGGGTCAGGCAGCCTTCGTGGAGAAATATCCCTGGTGGCAGCAAACCGGCAAAAAGAAGCAAGGCCACGCGACTGGTGGCTGTAGCATTTGTCAGCAGCACAAGCGGTCAGGTGGTGCCCTGAAGTTCATCAACGGCACTGCTGTCGTGAAGGACTCCAATGACATCATGGCTTCGAGTTTGACTTCCCCTCACACCGCAGCCCTTGCCTCTGACGTCGTTGCATGTCCCTTACATTATAGATTCATAAGCAAACGGCATGATTCTTTATGGATTGTTTCCCTTCATGCTCGGCAACTTTAGACCGACCAATGGCAACACTCTAAGCACCTCCCTCCTGGCGTCTTGCTCGTGCCTGTTTGGTTTGTTGTCCTTCTTATTCTCTTCTTCATTGATTCAATCCAAGTTCAAACGAAGTGTGCCTTTGCGACACACCACAAGCTTTGCCACTTAGAAATGTGTAATTGGAACGATCCCTGAATGTGTTCTGGCTGGGAGCGGACAACAATTGGTCCATGAAGCACAGGCACTTTGGCGCGCCTTGAACTGCCAGCCAGCAGACAGAACATAGATGCAACGTTAACGGTAGTACCACCTAAGTATCGGGCAGTCCCAACTCATGGATTTGGCGCAACATCGGCAACACACGTTGCCGCAATGACACTCCTGCTTTGTGTGTATGTCATTCTACGGATTGCCGCATCACGAGAATGCTAACTGTTAAGTAAAAAATGATGATGCTATGGCGGCTACATGCTTGCGATGATCCAAACAGGTCTACACCGCCGTAGCAAGTCTGCCGACCCTTATTGTTTGAGAATTTCAATAACAAGTTTGTACACCAAACGTGGCGGCGTTCTTGTGCTTGCACTCCTATCCCGAACGGACTGCCCTGCGAATTAAACGGGTGTCAAGTGGCTGCACCGGGGCCGAGCCCCTTTTCGGCTTTGGAAAGCCGGCCCCCTAGTCGTTCGTGTATGCACTCTTCATGCACATGTGCAGACAGTTCTGGCACTGTTTGTGAGCAGTAAGTAAAATCGACAAAGCAAGCAAGCAACCGCATAGCAAATCACAGGCCGTCACCCGCCGCTGCAAACCACAGCACACTAGGACTCTACCGGTTCATCATGTACCGGCCCCTGCTGCTGCTGTCCAGCCGCTTCCTAAGTGCGTTACGGATCAATCTAGATCTGGCAGGAATGGACGTTTTTGGCTAGAGGAATGAAAACGTACGGGTCGGCCTCAATTTATTCCTTTTTTCCAAAGGCCAAAATGCCGATTTATTCCTTCTAAGTAATATATTACTTAATAAAAAAACGCTGGAAGATGGACGAAAGCATGTTTTCTTAGACTGCCCAGCACCGACATAGCTCATGACCAGCTGAAGTTGGCAAACCTTCTCCACAAATCCTGGCTAAATAGGGTCTCTAATAGCTCATTTCCAACAGTGCGTTCAATAATTCGGCTAGTTCGGCCAGCTCGGCTTCATGTGAGTGCAGTAGGATAATGGTTTTCCTTGTGAGTTTTGTGGTATGTGCCGAATTGGATGGCCATCAGCTATAGCTAGCTAGCTACCTAGCCCCTGGGCCCCCTGTTCATATGGACCCGGTTTGAGGGTAATCCAACGCAAGGTGCAACATACACACACACGCACACAGTGATGTCAGCCCTGAATTGTAGGAGCTGTCCAGTCCTTCATAGTAGGAAGGTGAGGAGGCTCCAATATTAAAAATTTATGTCATAGCTCTCCTGCTCAACTTACCAACTCTACAACGTGCCCCCATCAATCTTACCATCCCTCCAGCTTTTATTCTAAAACACTCACCGTTGGATACCCCCGCTGTGGGGTTATCATCACCGGTGTCCACATCCGTAGCACTGTACACATTGATATGGAATCGCCACTGAAGCAATGTGCGTTGTGTATCATCTGCCAGGTCATCCCCGCAGTTTATCCACACGTACTCGACCTCCCCCAATGCCGCCTCTGCCAGATGCATTGCTTTAACGGCCGCTGATGCGGACGTACTCGCGCCTGCTTCCAGATCTATCAGCAGCTGACGAGCAGCTGTGGCTGCAGCATCAGCATTTGCATTGGACGCTTCAGCAGCAGTCGTCACCAAGCTTTGCATGGCAGCAGAGGCGCCAGCGGCTGCAGCGAGCACTGACCGCAGCTCCTTTTGAGTGATGATGATTTCATTCAGGCTGGGTGATTACAGTCATTGGATGAGCGGATGAAAGGGCGGCCACAGGGGAGGGTGATAATATGTCAACAGATGACAGGAGAAAACCAAGCATGGCCCCTTGCACAACAGAACTCTTTCAGCACCCTCCTCCTGTTGTAACTCAATTAGGTTTAAAACCCCCCAAACATGCCCTTCACAGCACCTATCAGATTTACTAACATGCCTGGTGCAATACTTATTAGCATGCTCGTTGTTTCATTGACATGTGGAAGTCTCCCCACCTAGCTTGCGTGTCCACGGCCACGCTAGTCATGTCCGTTAAAAGCTGCGAGTATGATAACATTTCCTCTGCTGACTGACGCAGGTCTGCTGCCTGCGGACCACTATCTAGATCACCGCTGCTCATCCGAGCTGCTATACTGGAACCCTCCATCACCAGCTCCACTGCCTGCTGCGAAAGCGCTTCTATGAGCATCTGCACGAGGGAAACAGACGATGAGGCACCATCGGGCAGTTCCGCAGCAGTATCGTCACTGATCTTTTCAGAGCCAGGCTCAGCGCTGAGTGCAGCAGTAATTGCTGGGCCATCACCAGGAAGCTGCTGCTGCAGTAGCAGCCGCTGCCGACTGTGACTGCCAAGCCCATCTTCCACTGATAGCCTTTGTAAATGATGCGTGTCAATACCATTGCTGTCGCTACCACTTTCCCCAGAGGCAATTTCCACCGGCATTCTTGGAGTTAGGTTGGGTAGCCCTGTCGCCATGGTTTCATCCCCGTCACTCATGACAGTGCCAACGTCCTTCTGTGGTGTCAGGAGCCGCAAGGGCAGCCAGAGTGCCTCTGCAATTGCCGCCAACCACCTCCCGGCAGCAGGGACCAGCATGTGATGGTATACATCACCAGTGGCATCCCGGTCGGGGATGGAGGCGCCGCCTCCGCCACGATACCGATTGTGGATGTTTGCCATCAGCAGCTCCAAAATCAAGTCCTCCACAACTCCATGGCTGGTACCATCGAGTTCCAATGCCTTCTGGGCCCGTGACTCCCGAGCAAGGTGGCCTTCAACACTGCTGCCAACACTGTTGGCTGGATACGGGACCGCCAAGGAGTGCTTCAAATCACTGGCGTCATCGGGCTGCATTTCACTTAGTTCACGGCGATGATGGGTAATACCACTGATGTCAGCATCACCGGCCAGGTGCACTGTTCCTGTATTGGTGTTGTATCCGAAGACCGCCAACAGCTTCTCGTGGCGAAAAGATGGGTCATTCATGAAAAACGATGTGAAGTTGTTGAAATCAGCGACAGCACCACGGTGTACGGCTGAGGGCAGGTAGGTGTGTATTGCCGCCGCCACACGGAGCACGGTGGTAGCGCTTGATACTTGCTCTGTGCTTGCACCCTGTGCATAGTGGTTTTGTGGAGGAAAATACGCGCATTTGGCGCACACAAACCATGCTGTCGCCTTAAGGTTCACACTTTGCCCTCGGAATTTACCTGTCTTTATGTCGCTGGAAGTAATAAGTAAAGCAAAGACTGCGGAGGAACCCCCTCAATCTAATCCCCAGGACTCCTTTCCACCATCAGAAAACACCCGTATGCTGTATATCAGGAGGAAATCACCATTTTGCAGAGCAAGTGCATGAGGTCATGCCACTGAGGGGCATGTGATTGCATTCCAGAAGGCCGATGGGGGTTTCGTTCTGCATGTTGGGAATAGAACTGAGCGGATATGCATAGCTGCCAATTATCTTCCCACGACACAATCTAATCACAACACCATTCAGTAAACAGGTGCTGGCTATAAGCGAGCCCTTGCACATATAGCTCGTTGCGGGTCCGGGGTCTGCAGGTTCGGGGTCTATACCTGCCGTCAAGTAATTTATTCAGACATACGGTTTCATCTTCCTGTCACGTGTTTAGCAGTCATAAAATGCTTTCACATAAAATGCTTTCACTCCAATGACTTAAGCACCACTTTGAAATGATTCAGCATGTGCCATGCTTCTGAATACCCAGATGAACCTGTGTACAAAATTTAACACATTCGAGGGAGAAATTATAGCAACCCACCAGCAGTTGTATGTCTGAGGAGTCATATCCCAATGACGCCAAGCGATTGGCGGCGTACGAGAATGCCATCTTGTACGGCTCGGTAGCGTTCATGGTTATGAGCGCCGGGATTATTGAGGCGGAGGTGTCTGCCAGTGATGCGACACTAGTGTTGATAGCGGCCGCATGCGCCGCCGCTAAGGTTGCGCTGTTGTACTTGAAGTCAGCGGGGGCGGATAACGGTGATGGGAATGAGACGAGCGTGGAGGACTTGTAGTACACATGTACGGTGCGATACGAGGCGACTTCACTGTAGCCGTTACTCGCAGTAAACCTGCAGCATGCAGGAACAGTGTATACCGCTCACCACGGGGGATATACTACGCATAGGGGTGGAGCCATACGGTATTTCTGTATAGCGGTTTATGGCTTCATAAATCACGGAAAGCAGGGTCGCCATTGTTATTTGCTATCACGATGTGGACTGTCTCGGGCTGTAACATTCATCCAGAGCAGAATTTCCTAACCACCAGTGCGGCACTGAATTTCTCTAACCAAGCTCCAAACTTCTCTCAACGGTCAGCAATCATATCATAATCCGATGTAAGTGTGAAAAGTAGGTCATGCAAGTCTTGGAGACGATGACTAAACGTTTAGTCATCGTAGGCAACCTTATGAATTAAAACTGAAACACAGAGGCCGAGGCAGGAAACGCCGCGAACTTTGCCAAATCAATTTTGGTTAATCGTAATGCAGCTGCCAAAATTGCAAATGGCAAGTCGTCCTAATGATGTCTTAGATGTCAGCTTGATGCGAGAGGATAGCTCGTAGGGTGTTGCCAACTGCAAGCCGCGATTCGCGCTGAGCGCGTCTACAATGCTAAAGCGTAAATAATTTGAGCAGAAAAACATCCTGTTTGGTCTATTACTGAGGATTACCGCTCACGAGTCGTGAGTCACGACTACACAATCAGTGGACAGATGCAGCTGCTGAACCTCTGGCGGGCGACCTGACAATTAGCAATCACTAATTGACGTAAATTTTGGGGTAGGTGAAAATTGCCGACCGTATTTCCTTAAAACGATTTAGATTTTTCCCGTACCGACCGTAATCAACGCAAGATAACGATAAGACGGTTGCGGCTTGCTTGCGTTATGCAACTTTCTGCCCTTTTGACTGAACAACTCACTTGTACTTGTAAGTTCCTGGCGGACACCCCCGCGGCAGGTGAAGCATCTCCATCGTGCACGTCTTACATTGCTTCTTGCTGTCGCCACTGCCCTGATCGCAGCTGATAGTTGGCTGTACGGTAATGGACCCTGTCAGATCTAACAACATTCGTCGGCCGTCACCGTAAACAGTAAGGCCCAGTGCGAAGACGCTGCAACCTGATGTGTCATTTATTGCCCTACACGGCCCCAGGTACATCTTTGGCACTTTGCCGTACTCCACATACGCGACACTGGGTAGTACGGCGAGCGCCGGTGTGTACAGCACAGGAGTCTTGAGCCGATTGGCAACAGAACACGGGAGTGGCGAGCAGAAAAACCTGCCCAGAGTGCAGCGCCGGTGCATAGTTGGGAATGGCAGATCGCCCAGGGACAGCGGAACACGGGGTCACCGGGGCCAGGTCATCTGGGGCTGAGCAAAGGAGATGAGGAAGCATTATGCAGGCAATCCCTTGAAGCAAAGCCATAGGATGCCAACAGCCAAGGGGCTACAAAACCGTGGCTTTGGACACTTGTGGTATGGTGGGCTGGGAGGCGCCAAGATATGAAAGTAAAGAATAATAAGGCTCCGAAACTTCTGGAAACCCGGCGGCAGGCTCGCTGTGCATACTAGGCGCCTTAATGACATCCATGCATAAGGACACATGTCGCAGCGCTAGGCCAGGTCTGAGCTCGTCAAGAGATGACGGTTGTAAAATCATGTACTGTTGCGCTTTGAATCCTAGATTTCATGGAGCGCCAAGCTGAAGAGCTGGTTTACAGAGGACTTACCCTCCTTGTGGGTCCTCACAGTAAGTGGTGGGCAAGGGAGGGGAGCCGCTGATGTTCCCCGTGGTGCCCATGACACTTGTGACGGTTGAAGCGGCGCATGGGTCCGAGATGATGACGTAACGCCGTACAGTAGCGTTGGCGCGGGCGTTATCCCACACCCAGAAGTCTACCGGGAAGATGGTCCCTACCGTCGCCAGCGTGTTGATCCCACAGCCTGCCAGCCCGCGCAGGCGCAGTGTGTAGCTCTCTAACTCCTGCCAGGGTGGATTTCAGGAGTATATATCCATAACTGCTTGCATGCGTGCACTTTACAAAACTGAGCTGCTTGTGCAGTGAAGTTGTATATGCGTGTGTGCCTCTGTGAAATGTATGGGTTTGGAGGGGGGAGATGAAACACTAGGGACCAATCAAATGCGAACTAGACTCAAAAACAGCCACGGCATGCTTAATGACTCGAACTACGCTAGGGCCGTCAAACTGAGACCAGGCTCATGTCCCTAACAACAGCCCAGCGAAACGCATGAATTCACACACCCAGTGCCAGGTCATGTCCGATACCATGTAAACTGATGCATATATTGTGCACAATAGCTGCTTCCGATGGCAATATGAAGAACCCAAGTCTCACGTAGATGCTGTTCCTATGGCGGCAAAAGTTTCAAATGCAGTCCAGCAGCAGAACACTTCCTTGTGATCTGCTGGTATATCCACCTAACCGTTTCCACCTCGCCCCACCTTCCACATCCTTATCTTGTTGTTTGTCTGAAACTATTTTTCCTCGCCCGGGAGGCCGGACAACCTTCAAGATCCCGACAGCTTGTCAACCCAGGCATGCTGCTGCTCCGATCTTCCAAACAAGACACACTCTCATACACATACATGCAGATATACGCGCTCATACACGTGCACATGATGCTCTTACGTGCACATATTTTGAGCCGGCCAGTGCTGCAATGGTCGGCCTACAAACGTACCCGCGTCGTGCACCCTTCGGCTGACAAACACGCCGCCGGTGGACAGGCTATGACTGCGCCTGTCAGATCGAGAGCAACCAGCACCGAAGAGGATGTAGCCTCATTCCTTGATACGGCGCCATCGGGGTCCGTTGCTCGGGCGCCTGGCTCACACGGCTTGTCGAAAGTCGGTACACTGCCATTGCAATAGTCGTACCTGCGATGCGTGTGCGAGCCGTTGTGTGTATGGCGGCCGGGGGTCTTAAGGTGGGTGTGGCGTCTCCTTGCCCTTTCCGATATCTGCGGGTTCTAGGTTTCTCCCCCCTTAACATCTGTGCTTCCACCTCGCCCCCTGTTTCAGACCTGGGAGGCTGCCGTCCACACCGAAGCATCGCAATGTCACTCACCTCTATTGAGCCGTCTTGCGTGCAGTGCACGCCACGCATTTCCATTATCCTTCAACTCCTGTCCCTACCCCCTGATTCAATCTTAGCGTTTATGCTTTCTCTCCTAATCGCCCCGGCCCCAACCCATGGCTACATGCACGAAACCCCATGGCCCACACGGCCCATGCAGCCCTCCGTTTCGGCCTTGCTTACCTCGCGCCCCTCATAACATGCACCAACATCGACGCTGCCTCCGAGACATGGAGCTCGATGGTGGGGGCCTGGTTAGGCGGAGTTTGCTGCTGACTAACGACTCCGGCTGCTTGGGGTCTTCCAAGCTTGCCGATGGATCCAAGCTCGCTGAGACACACCTGGTCCACAGAGCAGGTCACCTGACACGCCAAAAAGGACCCATGGGTCAGTAGGCGTGGGTTGGTGGGCGATCTGGGTCGGGTTGGGGTATAAGTGAGTGTATCGGTGGGCGTATCGGTGCACGTGTTGGTGAGCCACAGCATCATGCACGACTAGTACAAGGCATACCCAACAAGGCGGTACGATTGGGTAGCGGCATGGACCTCCTTCCGCCTCCTGAAACTCACATTATCGCCACATAACCGTTCACCAGGGAGGCAAGCTGCCCGGACCACCAGTGTGCGCATGGTGGCCGCCGTCCTGCCACCACTGTTGGAAACATCGTAGGTAATTGTGTACACGCCGGGGATCGAACTGGAAATGTTGCAGGCCAGCAGCACCGGCACGGTAGTGTATGCCGTCGCCGCCGTACTGGAAGGCGTGAATGGTTGTCCGCATACCCGCAGCCTGCTGCTCAGGTCCCCTTCCAACGGGTCCAGGACGCGTGCACCGGCGTCGCAAGGGAGACTAACTGGTATGTCCTGCATGCACCTGGGGCAAATACACGCAACAACGCAACGGAAGCGAAATTTGTGAGTGGGTGCATCCACAGGAGCATGTGAGGGCACAAACATAACATCTGCATTTTTAGGAAATTGGCACGGAAGACCGCAGCATAGTCGGCAATTCATCCAGGTACACAGATCATTTCGTATGCAGCAAAAGGGTAAGGACGCGGATACACACGTGGCTCATGGATAGATGGATGCCGTGAAAAGGCATGCCCACTGGGCATTGCCCAGTTCCAGATACCAGGTCGTTATGTATTCATGCGGGGAAGAAGAACAAGAACAAGATGCAAGGCAAAATTGTATGTTTTAGTGATCTGCATGCTCCAGCTTCCACCACCCAGACTCCCCAGACAATCCATCCCCATTGCCTACCTGTCAAAGCTGCCAAACTGCGGGATTTTCACCAGTCTTGGGCCCTGCAGAGCGATGTGCGGGGCGGACGGGTCATTCATTGGCTCCCACCCATCCGCTTCAACACCCCACTGGCTGGTGGCGTTGCTGCGCTTGCTGCTGCCTTCGGCGCTCCCACTGCTAGCGCTACCACCGTCGTTGGCGGTGGGTCCACCAGCCACGCTGTTGAAAGCAGACGAATACCGGCCGAAACCGCACACGCCGCTGACCGTGCACTGCCCTTCCCCCTCGTCATCCACACAAAACGTTTCTGGCGGGGTGCAGATGATCTTGATTAAGCGCCAGCCGACGGCTGCCACACCGCTGCTGTCGGTCACACTGTATCGAATGACATAGCTGTGCAGAGCCAGCGGAGGTGTGGCAGCGAAAGTGTCGACAGCAGTGATGCCGTACGCTTGGATAGCGTTCGTCAGGTTGATTGTTGCACCGAATTCGTCAATGTCGAAGGCGGTAGCGCCTGATGGCCAAAATTTGGTGAGTGGAGAGAGAGGGGTATGCGGCAACAGAGGGAGCTACAATAAGGCTGCAGGTTGAGGGTGTAAATCCGTTTTCTGTACGGAAGAAAACGCAATCTCGTCACATTCTCACGAGATGAGATGATCATGAGATGATTAAATAGTGAGCTCCACGTTATAGCTGGTCGCCAGAAAGTTCTCTCGATATAACGACGGGTATTGTGGCTAGCTTACGTGGTGGGGAAGTGGGACCCCTGCGTGTGCCTTTCCCTGCCAGGGTGTTGCCAAAAAATTGCTGGCTGGCATGATCTCTGTTGGTACAGAACCGGGTACTCGGTCACTTCTCAGTCTGCATTATAACAACCATTTGCTGTAACATGTATAACATGTATCCTGCCAAGGACCATCGTCAGCCCCTGGTGCAGCTGCTTCCAGTCTGAAAGGGTGGACCTGACGGCCTGGACTTCATCCGATGATCAGGATTCGTTGCCAAATGTACCCCCAAAACCCAAACTAAAAAGCACGAGCCTTTATAATCACAAAAGCGCTTCTCAACATATTGGCAGAGCACTTCAGCCTGTCGATATTGCTTACATACGCCGTACTGTACGACAACTAGTACACACGTCCCAACCTGGATCTGTCCAGGCTGATCCATACGGCACTTCATCCAGTATGACCGGCTCGCCAGCGGTGCTGATGTACGGCTTGCCAAGGCCCATAAGGAGCAGTCGGGGGGCCTGGGTGTCCTTAGGCACTGGCAGCCGTATCCTGGAGGAAGCGAACATAAGCTGGGCTTGGCAGTTCCAGGTGCTGTACAGAAAAGGTCACCCACTCATCTTATCCCCACCAAAAGCCCCGCGGCCCAAGTACGACGTGAATAGCAAAGCAGCACGGAAAGCAGGGGACTTGGGAAGTATGGTTGAGCACACAATCTGAACCCGCTAGACATAGGCTGGTGCAGCGATGGCGGCTTCTGGTTCATTTGCTCCGGGTTCCTGGCATGGGAACGCTATGCACCCCTACATACATCCCTGGTGGTCAGGGCACATGCGAGTCCGGAGGTTGCAGCAAGCACCCGGCATGCCCTTGCTATTGGCATTACGATGTTAGTCGCTTGCCCCAACATATTTCGCCCGTCTTCATGGCCTGAGCAGAGGCAAGCCGCTTCTCAGCCTGGAAATGCTGCTCCCATTCATCACATGGCGCACAGAAGCCACTACCCGCCCACCTGTTTGCTCACCAGTTCTTATCGGCACTATCTATGGCAATTTTGTCCAAATTAAACACCGGTGTGTTGGATGTGGTTGGTGTAGATCCGCCACGACTGCTGCCACTGATGCTGCTGTTGGCTCCGCTGTTGTCCAGGTCCGTTCCCAGGGATATTGTACCAAAGACCAAGTCTAAGAGGTTGACGCACCTGGGGGTAATTGAGGGGGTTCGGTATGGAAGCGTGACAGGTTTCAAAGCAAGGGACTGACGGACAGAGTGTGTGATGACGTGTGTGGTACAGCTTGTGGCTGATTTATCTGCAACGATAAACAGCAGTGCACTCTTACTACAGGAACTCGTCTGTAAAATTGTTGCTTGATCATCTGTCCATCTGTTGTATTCCGCTTCTTAAATCTGGTCCCCAACTGATACATTTTTCTGTCTAATTTTTCCTTTCTCGCTTGGCGTGGTTGCTGGACAAGTTCGCTGGAACTAACTGAATTCCAACTGCCTATTTTGCCGCTTTTCTGTCAGATCTTTATGGCTCCGACCTCTGGGTCAGACGGCGAGCGGGATGCTGTCATGGATGCCTACAAGTAAACGCCGCCTCAGGCGGAAGTCCATACTTGCAGAAGTATGGGCAGGGGTCGTAGCACAGGCTATGACTGGGACACTGGTCCCTGGCTTGCGGAGCCCCGTCATCGATTGGAAGCATGGATCAACGGTACGCCATTCCGGACTGGACCGCGCCTTTTTGGAACTGGCTGTACAATTCATGGGATGGCCGCATCCTCCGCTATTTAAGCGGGCGAAACTCTTCCAAATCGGTGTCTTCCGACGCCACCATCCAGTTGTGGTTTAGTAAGATTTAACAAGTCTGGTATCGAGACGGTTCCTCCTGGGGCCTCTCGCATTTCTGAAATTTTCAAGATTCCCCTTTTGCCATCAAGATCCCCACTTCTACCGGCGTGTGGATGGAGGTCGACGACGTCACCGGACCTTTGGCTACAATCGTCGACACTCTTGGCGATGCTGTCCGCGAAGTCGCTGCGTCCGGTCTGTAAACTACTTTAGCAAATCTGTTTGCTGACTTTTTCTAGGATTTTGTGTTACTAGCGGTAAAGTTGCTGCAGGCTCCGAACCGCCGGTTCCTTCGGCGGTCCCTGCCCTTTGCCGGAGGCTCTGTCAAGAGCTTCGTAGCACCCGTTCGGTGCTAGAACAGACTTTCAGAAAACTTGACAGTTCTCTTTACTTGGGTACGCGGTCTGCCTGATCTGGGTCAGGATAGTTGGAAATGGAGTCTAGGCGAAGTCGTTGGGGATTGCCCTCCACTATCGATATGACCAATGGAACTGTCCCTCCGCCACCTATTGCCCTGAATAACAGTAACCAATTAATAAATATGAATAATCCCTCATCCGATGTTCCGATTCCTGCAGTGGAACACATCGCGGGTCGCGCCACCGGGACGACCGCCGGCGATGGAAGGAACAACGTCGCTACTGAGCGCGGCTTGCCCGCTGGGGTTAGTGATGAGGTGATCAGAATTCATATTCCGGTACCTAGGCTTAGTATTCCTGCAGATATTAAGCTTAGTGAATTATCGCGGGAAGTTGCGCCACGTGTCCGCGCCTTTGTCCGCGATGTCCGGAAGTATTTTGATTTCGTGCGGAGCGGAAATCATGGCAGTATCCGTTGCTTATTTTTAGCTAACGCTCTTGAAGGCGCCGCGAAAACGTGGCACGATGACTGGACTATTGCGCGATTACAATATACTTCAGAGCAACTTTTGGAGGCGCTATTAATTCGTTTTGCCCCACAGATTCAAACGCGCGAACTAGAAGCGCTAGAAAAACTTGCTGCAGGGCAGCATCAGATGCGGGCAAACGAAACGGTAGCCGCGTACCATAGTCGTTTCGAGGCACTTATAGCACCAATTCCTGACTTAAGGGAGGTTGATCGGATTTTCTGGTTTATCCGTGGCCTTTCCGCTGAGTTTTCAGGAGAATGTGCGACCGACCGTGACGGTAAGCCTTTTCAGGAATATACAAAACTTGTGCAGCACACGCTTGGTGTTGAGGCCCGTCAACTTGCTAAACTTCATTCTCAAGCCCAAACCCGCGTGCTTCTGCATGCTTCCACCGCTGTGCAGGATCCCGCGCCCATCATCACTGACGACGGGGACCTCCCGGCACCGGAGGTCAGGCCTCGGGCTGCTACTGCTGCCGCTGGGCGGAATACAGCTCACCAGGCCTCCGGTGCTGGTGAGTCGAACCGTGGGCGCAGGGGTCGGGGTGGCAAGCATAGGGACAAGGGTCGGCCCAGGGCCGCTGCCGCGGGAACAGGGACGACGGTGCTAGGCAAGCGTGGCCGGGATTCGAATCCGGCAGAGTGGATGACTAAGTTTTACTGCATCCGGGCGGAGTACGAGTACCGCCAGAAAAATAGCCATTGCCTCCGCTGTGGGGAGGACAAGCACCTAGTAGCGGAGTGCCCATTGCTTTCAGAGAAGAGAGCTAGGAACGGGGAAAAATAGGGGGTTGCCCAGGACAGTGTCAGGGAAGCACTCCCTGGGTCACAAAACCGAACGGTGCCCATAATCTGCCCGGTTGGACGTGCTGTCCGTGCTGTTTTACCGGCCGTATTGAACCAAGTTGAGAAGGCCGTTGGACGGCGTTTTTCGTTTGATGCTCGTACTGCTCGTCCTGGTTTTGACGAGCACTGTAATCTGTTTGCTATTCCACGGCGTCTAACCTCTAGTAACTTGGGTGGGCATACCGTTTGGATTTCCCCTTCCTCTTAAAAAGAACTTCAGTCTCAGCTTGCGCATTATCGTATTTGCAAACGTCAACGACCTGACACCGAGGCCTGTCTCCTGTTACCAGCACATGTATCCCCGAGGGCTGCCTCCTTGCTGATAGGGATGCGTCGGGTTCTTCAGTTTCGTGCTGGTAGCAAGCTCTTCAACGGTGTAGACATGACGGGTCAACTTGTTTCCCTTCCAGGTCTGCCATATACTGCTGACGTTTGGTACGATCCCCCTCTTGTCCTGGGGCACCTTGACACGGAGCCCCATGTTTCAGTCCTGTGTGCAAAAGTTGCTGCGTCAACAGGGCCCAGAGTCCCGTTAATTGGCATTCGTGTCGCTGGACATTCTTTAACTGCCATGGCCGACTCTGGTGCCAGCGACGACTTCATTTCTGCGTCCATCGTTGAGCAACTCGTACTGAAACCTCAACCGGCATCGTGGTCATCTGTCACCCTTGCTGACGGGGGTAAGCAGGTCATTTTGGGTCAAGTTTCCCTTCATATATCCTTGGGCCCTTTGCGCCTAAATGTCCATCCGTATGTGCTGCCTAAGTTTACTGATGCAGCCACGTTTATCTTAGGGTCCGCTACCCTTGATCAGTATGGGGCTCATCTGAATTATGAGACCCACACCTTGCAGTTGCGGAAGGGAACCTTGTGTTATAAGGCACCTTTCACCACTGCGGAACGGATGGGAGAAGGGAATACTAGTGCTGCACACTCCGAACCCTGTGTGAATTTTGCTGCTGCCGCTATCTGAAAGCGAATTGAGCCTGAACCCGTTGGGCTCAAAGCAGCTATCCGTATGATTCACAAGGGGGCGCATGGATTGCTAGTACGGCCTAAATTGCAACTGAATACAGCTGTTACCCAGATCACTGAAAATGACCCTGCGGTTGAAGCCCTTCTTAACGAATACTCAGATATCTTCCATAAGGTCCCTGGATTTCCCCCGATGAGACCTGTAGATCATACCATACCTTTGGCTCCTGGTGTGCAGCCTGTTTCATGCCCCATGTATCGCCTCAGCCCCCTGGAGCTGGATGAGGTGACACGCCAGGTAGCCGACCTACTGAGGAAAGGTATGATTCGACCCAGCACATCCCCGTACTCGGCTCCCATTTTATTTGTGGGTAAAAAGGACGGGACTCTGCGTATGTGCGTAGACTATAGGGGTTTAAATGCAACCACCGTTAAAAACTATCCTATCCCACGGGTCGATGATCTCTGGATAGACTGCGTGGCTCAGCTTTCTTTAGCTCTATCGACCTACAGCAGGGGTACAATCAAATCCGTATTGCTGAATCAGATATTCCGAAAACTGCATTTCGTACGCCCTCTGGTCATTACGAGTATACTGTGCTGAGCTTCGGCTTGACAAACGCTCCTGCCACATTCCAAGCCCTGATGGACCGAACCTTTCGGCCCTACATAGACCGTTTTGTCGTTTGCTATCTAGACGATATCCTTGTCTATTCAAAGACACGTGAAGAGCACCTGGAGCATTTGCGGCTGGTCTTTGAAATTTTGTGGTGTGAGCAACTGTTTGCCAAGCGTTCTAAGTGCCACTGGGCCCAGCCTCAGGTTGAATACCTTGGTCACATCGTCTCCAAGGATGGCATCCGCATGGACCCCCGTAAGACTGCTGCGGTGCGGAACTGGCCTACCCCGACCAATTTGCAAGAACTAAGGAAGTTCTTGGGGCTGACGAACTACTTCCGTAAGTTCACCGAACGCTATGCCATTATTGCCGCACCTCTGACAAATCTGACATGAAAAGGGGCTTTTGTATCTCCTGACTGCTGGGGTCCTGACCGCCAGCAAGCTTTTGATACACTTAAGCGTGTTGTCTCTGAAGACATCATCCTGCGTTTCCCAGACTACTCCCAACCTTTCCGTGTGGAGGTCGTAACTGATGCATCTTTACATGGTACGGGAGCAGTACTGCTGCAAAATGGGAGACCAATTGCTTTTACTAGTAAGAAGTTCTCGGGGGCTGAAACCCGTTATACCACTGGGGAACAAGAACTTCTTGCTGTACTGCACGTGCTTAAGGAGTGGCGGTGTTATCTGGAGGGTCGGCCGTTCACCCTCAAAACCGACCACAAACCCCTAACGTTTATGCAAGGCGTGCCTACCCTTAACCGTCGTCAAGCCCGGTGGATGGAATACCTTAGCCGGTTTGACTTCACATGGGAATACCTGCAAGGCATCCTTAACGTTGCTGATGCCTTAAGTCGGCACCCTTGTCTGCATGCAGCCATTCTGTCAGTCGTTACACGCAACCGTGCTGCAGCACCCGTTGTGCCCTCTGAACTTGTGCAACGACTTCGAGCTGCCTATGCCACGGATCCCTGGTTTTCCGATAACCACAATACTGGCCATTTAACCCCTAACAGTGGCCTTTGGATCCGCACTGAGGGTACTTTTCGGCAGGTTGTCGTTCCGAATGATGACTTGCTGCGTCATGATCTCCTGTCACGTTTTCATGACGACCCGCTGGCTGGGCACCCTGGCTGCACCCGTCTGGTCGAGGTTCTCCGTCATCAATTCTGGTGGCCTCGGATGGCCAAGGACGCCGAGAACTATGTCCAGAACTGTGAGCTGTGCCAACGCAATAAAGTCCTGTCTGGTAAGCCCCACGGCCTCCTGTGTCCCTTGCCTGTGCCGGCCGCCCCTTGGGAAAGTGTTACCATGGACTTTGTTGTCGCTTTGCCCAAAACTGAGGGAGGATTCGATGCCGTTTTGGTCATGGTAGACCGACTCACGAAAATGGTGCACCTGGCACCTACGGTATCATCCTGCACAGCTGAGCAAACTGCACGTCTGTTCTTTGACAACATAGTGCGTTTGCATGGTGTCCCCAAGAACGTTGTGACCGACCGCGGATCGCAATTTGCCAGCAGATTTTGGGGCACCCTGGGTGATCTGTTAGGCATGCGTGTTAACCTGAGCACCGCCTATCACCCACAGACTGATGGACAGACAGAACGTACGAATCGCACTCTTGGTGATATGTTGCGCAATTATGCCGGACGTACGCCTTCTGTCTGGGACACATATCTAACTGCTGCTGAATTCGCGATTAATAATGCTGTGAATCGCGCGACTGGCAAAAGTCCGTTTTTCCTGAATTACGGATACAACCCTGGCTTGCCTGTTTGGCGGGAGTTGGACGTCAACTTGCCTGCAGCAAAGACGTTTGCCAAGTCCTTTGTGTCCCGACTGACTGACGCTAAATCTTGCCTTGAAGCTGCACAGCAACGTACGGCGGACTACTTTAACAAATCCCGACGTGCCATCACCTTCTCGCAGGACCAGTTGGTGATGCTGAGCACTAAGAACCTGAGGTCCCTAGCGGATGGTCCTCGTAAGCTTTTACCTCGTTGGGTGGGACCTTTTCCTGTCGTTCGCATGGTTGGGTCTACTGCAGTCGAGCTGCAACTACCACCTGACATGCGCATCCACCCCACATTCCATGTCTCTCTAGTCCGACCTTTTCATACTACTGACTCTGCTGCTGCGCTTCAGCCAAAACCTGCTCCTACTGTCACGGAGCCAGGACCAGTTACTTGGCTTTCAGGCAAGCAGACATTTTACGCGGTTGAACGGATACTGGATTACCGCTCCCGAAAAGTAGGCAGAAACCGCCGCCGTAAGCGCACTGTGCATGAGTATCTTGTCAAATGGGTTGGGTACTCGGCTGAGCACAACAGTTGGGAACCAGAAGCTAACTTTACCCCTGATCTGAAACCTCTGCTGGAAGAAGCACGGCAAAGAGCACGGGCGAGGTAAGATTTGCGGGTTAAAGGTAAGTGTTTAACTCCCACGTTTTGGCCCGAATTTTGCTCTGCCAGTTTCTTGCCATACATCGAGGACGCTGCATCCACTCGGGGAAAGACTTGGTCATGGATGTGGTCATGCGGGGGGTTTCCTGTCATAGATCTGGTCATGTTGCCTCATGACCACTCATGAGGCCTCATGACCGGTCATGTTACCGGTCATGAGGCAGAGTCATGGTCATGACAGTTGTCATGCTCCTTGTGAAGCATGACGGATCATGAATTGCCACTTATATATGTAAATTCAGTCATGTTCCCAATGGTCATATGCTGGCTATGTGTTCATGTTTTGTTCCTTTCTAAAAAGTGACAATTATATGTACTCAATCCCCTTCCTTAAACCCTGTTATAAATTTGAAAGACATATGCTACACACTTAAGCCATCTACTTGAGGTTTTACTAGCAAAGAATCTCTCATGCTGTGTTCAAGCTAGACATTTCGAACCACCAGCTCGCACTGTCAGCATTGTTCTTCACAACTCCTGTCTGTATGTACAGGACAGGCTAAATCGAATTAGCCTGTAATAGTAATAACAGAATTCTGTTATGACTTATTCAGAAGCATGCAAGTACCAATTGAGTTCACCATCTTTCAATAAGTAGTTAACATCACACTTCCAGAGTCTCAGACTGATAGGCTCTTAGGGTCACACACAGTGCCCCATGCTCCCAGGCTCTAATTCACCCAGCCCCCAGGCTCCAAGTAACACACGCTCCTTGGCCCAGGCCCCCAAGCTCACAGTCACTAACAGTCTTCGTCCCCCAGTAACACAGGCTCCTAAGCACCCAGGCTCTCTATTAGGCTATCAGTAACACAGGCTCACAGGCCCCAAAGCTGTCAGGTCGCTGCATGCCTACTTTTCTTTTTCTTTTGGTGGTGGTTGCTGTCTTAGGGTTTCTTACATTCACAAGCATCTCTGCCAGCAATTTCACCTCTCCTGAACATGGAATGCAAGTCCCCCAGTCTGCCAGTTCTCCAGTCTCCCTATCTCCTAGCCTCCCAGTGTCCCAGGCTCCCAACCTCACAAGCTCTTAGGCACCCAGTCTCCCAGGATCCCAGCCAATCTTCCAGGCTCTGAGTCACCCAGGATCCCATCCTAACAACCTTCCAGTCTCCATGGCTCCAAACCTCCCAGCCTCAGCCTCAAATGCCACCAGGCTCCCAGTCTATCAGGCTCCTATGCACCCAGTCTCCCAGTCCCATATCTAGAGGGGGGATAGTTGTTGTATTCCGCTTCTTAAATCTGGTCCCCAACTGATACATTTTTCTGTCTAATTTTTCCTTTCTCGCTTGGCGCGGTTGCTGGACAAGTTCGCTGGAACTAACTGAATTCCAACTGCCTATTTTGCCGCTTTTCTGTCAGATCTTTATGGCTCCGACCTCTGGGTCAGACGGCGAGCGGGACGCTGTCATGGATGCCTACAAGTAAACGCCGCCTCAGGCGGAAGTCCATACTTGCAGAAGTATGGGCGGGGGTCGTAGCACAGGCTACGACTGGGACGCTGGTCCCTGGCTCGCAGAGCCCCATCATCGATTGGAAGCATGGATCAACGGTACACCATTCCGGACTGGACCGCGCCTTTTTGGAACTGGCTGTACGATTCATGGGATGGCCGCATCCTCCGCTATTTAAGCGGGCGAAACTCTTCCAAATCGGTGTCATCCGACGCCACCATCCAGTTGTGGTTTAGTAAGATATAACACCATCGTGCCGATTGGTACAATAGAAAGGGACGGTCCCTATCGATTTTAGCAGGGCACAATTTAATAATACAAGTTACAAGTTACAAGTTCCGCACACAAGTGCAGGTGTGTCCATAAAAGCCGGGGGGGCCATGGATGTTGTATTGGTATTGATGCGGGTACACGGGAGGTCATCTTCATTCTCCCTCGTCCACTTCAGGGTGAAGCGCCTCAGCGCGACGTGCCTGGCCTCCCAAATTTCCGAAAGGTACCTGGCCAATGCCAGGGGTGGCGCCTCAGTCATAATGGTGCGCATGCTGCGCCCCTTAAGGACTAGATCACCATCATACTTAGCCCGTATGCTCTTGTAAGCGGGACATTCCTCGAAAACATGCAACTCATCTTCAAACGCTCCACAGTCACAAAGCCTGCAGGTACACACGGTGCACTCACGCCCATTAGGCCTATTAACCTCTAACTCCTAACAGCCTAACCGAAAATGCATGAGCACATAATGAAGTCGCTGGGGCATGGTCCCTTTAGTGTGCTCCAACCAATCGAGACGCGCACCCCTAGACGGGGCAGCTCCCATCTAGTTCATATAGCGACACGCCTTGGCTCCGGAAATTCCTATGGGGAAGACGAGGGGGTCACCCAAGGTATTCAGGCACTCCCACCGTCATCAAGCCGTTTGGCAAATACCTTAAGAATGCTCTCAACTGGCAATTTAAGGGTGGTGTAGTATGCTATAAGATCATTACCGCGCATATTAGTGGGGGTTCCGCTCCTAAGCTAGTAAGAAAGGCTAGTACCTTGCTTGCCCAAACTCAGTGACGCCCCCAAGTGCCAACTCCAGGTCAGCAACAAATGCCCGGTGACACAGCGTTCCCGGCCTCTTAACCACAGAGTTCCAAAATCTAAGTACAAGATTGGTCCAATGGAACTGGAGTGGCCTCTGTGACAGCTCGCGGTATAGGGAAACCATAGTCGGGCTCCTCACCCCAACTACGGTTCGCATGTATGCACGCTGTTCCTGGACCATGGGATTAGTCATAGCACCTTCAAAACTCACATTTATGAAGTCAGGTCCCCAAACTTGCGCTCCATAAGAAAACACCGGTACAACTAGTGTATTGTAGAGAGACATACATAGCTTGGGGGTGGTAATTTTCTTATCTCGACACAGGGTGCTGAGCCCAAACGTGGCCCGCCTCCCTGCTGTGAGTAGTTGCTTGGTACATGCTGAGAACTGCACTCCTGGGCCATAGTGCAACCCGAGATACCGTGCCGTCTCGTTGCCGGTCAGCACCTGCAACCCCACCCCACCTAACTGGTACTCAGCTTACATAAGCCGCTTCCACTCACGTGCAGCACCCCCAAAAATGAGGACCTCACACTTGGCGGCATCCGCGGCCATACCCGTCGCTTTGCAGTAGGCTTCGAGTAGCCCCAGAAGGCATTCTGCTCTATCGTCCCCTGTCGCTACCAGTGACACATCGTCAACGAAAAGTAGGTTAGTGAATTCACCACCCGCCAGGCTAACACGCTAAATGATTAATATAATCTTTTAATGTGATTTTTACAGACGCGTTCTCAGTGGTGATTTATTTTTCATTTAGGGCGGGTCTCAATTTATTCCAACCTAAGTAACAAACTTGCTAGGATCGTTGTAATAAATTCCTCAAGTGTGAGGCGCTGGGGGGGGCTACACCCCCCCAGAACCCCCCGATAAGTTACAACTCCCCTCATAGACCAAGAGTCACGCACTGAGTTGGCGCGTTTTCGCTCATGTGTGCACTCTTCGTGCACATGCGTAGATAGTTCTGGCACTGTTTGTGAGCAATAAGTAAATTCGACCAAGCAAAGGCCCAAAGCAAGCAACCGCATAGCAAATCACAGGCCGTCACCTGCCGCTGAAAACCAGAGCACACTAGGACTCTACCGGTTCATCATGTACCGGCCCCTGCTGCTGCTGTCCAGCCACTTCCTCAGTGCGTCACGGAACGGGAACGTGCCCAGGTCGAACAGGTCCTGGGTAAACATCCGCACACACAGTGCCAGGTGCTCGTCCAGGCGGTTGCGGGTGAGGTCCTGCAAGTACCCCATGGCTGAGAACCGCCACTCATCCTCCACCGACCCCGGCACCATCACTAACACCAGCTGGGCCAAAGCCGAAAACTCCGTTAAGCCGCCGGTGAGGGCCGCACAGTTGCTGATGGCCTGCCACACCCATGCTGTGTGTGTGTCATCAAGCAGCACCTGGTGCTCATGCTTGGATGTGGGTGCGTCATGCAGTGTGCCATGCAATGGATGCTCAGCAGGAACGGCGTGGTCTGGCTGAGCCTTGCCGACACCCCGTTGTGCACGCCCATCATCACACTTGCACTGTCAGTGCTGACCGCTACAAGCTTGCATGCCAAGTCCTCCTCCCCGAGGTCGGCCTCCATGTTCAGTGTATCCAGCACCAACTGCGTGATGTTCTCAGCACCGCCATCCCGAACGCCTTTATCAGGAAATTTTTCAGCTTATCTTGCTGTTTTGGTGTCTGTTCAATGTTCGAGTTGTTGCCGATGACCGGTCATACATTCTGCTATGCCGCGTTGACTCACGGGCTTGACCTTCTTACGGCCCCTCATATCTATTCTAGGATTGAAAATACTAAGTTCTGCACACTACGGAGCAATCTGGCAGCAATGGACGTTTTTGGCTGAAGGAATGAAAATGTACGGGTCGAGCTCATTCATTCCTTTTTTCCAAAGGCTGAAATGCCTGTTTATTCCATTTAAGTAATATACTACTTAAAAAACGCTGGCTCTCAGCCGGGGTTGTGAAGGGCAGTGAGAGGCCTTCGCCTCTTGGTGTGCTCGGGTGGAGGGAGAGGGGGGCTCCATTGCCAGGCAGTGAGCCCCCCCAACACATATCTTCAGTTGGGAATGTAGGGTGGCCAAATGCAAGCATGTTTGTGCTAAGGCGGGTGTGCGCGATATGTAGATACAGTAATAACAGCGTTTTTAACGGAAAAGGACTCGAGGTGCCATCGACATCTTCTCTGTTAGAAATATGATTGCGAGGTCTTTTAGCTGTAAGAGCTACCATTGGTACAGATGCAGTGTGCCTCACGGAACGCGCTGTGACCTCGAATCCCTCCGAACTCCTATTTGCTCTCTCGTGCTGGCTTCCCTTTTTTCCTGCTTCAGAGACCTCCCTTCCGACCACTCTCTGCCTCAAACACCATGACCGACAGCCCCTGCAACAAGCACCGCTCACTTACATCCCGCCGACGGAGCACCGACCCAGCTCAAAGCAGAAATACTCTCCTTTCTTCCCGCAAGCGTCCGTAATGACAACAAGGCGAAATCTTGGTCTTGCAGGGCTGTGGCACGGTATGTTGGCCGCAGGCAGGTTGGGGAAGGAAGGGGAGGAAAGCAACAGGGTGGTGAGATCAAGAGGAAGGCATGGACTGGAAAGCTTGCATAGGGGTGGCTGGACCTAGGAAAAGTCCTATGCAGGAAAGATTGAGCGAACGGAGAACATGCAGGTACTCGTGTGCACAGATACCAGCACAGCCGCGGCACTGTGCTGGCTATGATACGCGAAATCTTATCTGTACTCACATGCCTCGGCTGTTCCAGGCACTGTACTTGATGATGTACACCTCTCCCGGCTGATTGGGCCGAGTCATGTCAATGTACAGAGCCGCAGCGCCTCCGCTACAATCAACACCACTGTGGATGAGGTCAACAACGCCGGCGGTCGTATCAACCACCAGCGCCGCTGCCCCGCCAGGCGGGAGGCGGCAAATCATGTATGACCTATGTATGGGGAGACTGTTCGCATCAACAATGTCGTACACTGCGGCAGGCGGCTCGATAAAGGTCTCCTTGGGGGAGAAAGGGGTCTCCAAATAAGCGGCACCCTGACAAGGAAGAGGGCAACAAGGGTCAATAATCACCCATGAATTGTAGGTATTGGCACGCAAGCAAGCGGTAGGTGTTGCAGTAGGCCCTGGAGGTGCGCGAGTCTTGATAATAGTAGCTGCTGTGTGTCTGAATCCCTAGGCCACAGCCGGAAACCTACTTGTATGCAGCAGGCCTGAACTTTTTGACCTGCCCCCCTGACTTGCGCACACAAGCACCTCAAAGACTACAATAATCTGCAGGGATACAAACCTGTAGTGATATGGATGGGGGGTCGGTGTTCGCGGCCGCCACCGCCGCTATGTTAATGGTGATTCCAACGCCTGCACTGACACTCATGTTCTGCAGCAGCAATAGCTCCGGAGCCTGTGCTGCCAGCCCTTCCCACCCAAGCACGTCGTTTCCGAGATTAGCGATACTGGATTCCACTTGTGTCCCTCCGCCACCATTAGGGTGCAAACGAAGACTAGGCGTCGCCACGGAGCAACATACATCTGTCACCTGACGTATCATGGCACGCGGTAAACGGGGTGACTGGTGGAGATGGGCGTCTGCTAGCTCCAAAGGTCTGAGGAACAACCTGGATTCAATGTGTGTCTATGGTGCAGATAGATGCCGAGGATTCGATGCAGGACTTGCAGCATGCGTACACATGAGGCCATGAGCCTTCATTGGGGTGAGGACTGTAAATGGGGTGATTGTAAGAAGGGATCAGCTCCCCAACAGCTGAGGTATTAATGACCAGCAGTACTGTTAAGAGCTCACCTGCACACCCGAGATGTTCAGTTGCGGATAGTCTTGGTGCTGTAACACCAGGGAGGGCAACTGCAGGAGCCGAAACACCAGCCAGTCCAGGGATGTCTGACCAGGGGTTGAACCGAGCAGAAACATCCAGTTCGTGGGGAACCAAACCTGGGGGTTGCGGGCATGGGAAGGAAGGGCTTGGGATGGGGCGAAGGGGTGGGAAAGCCGGAGGCAAGGACTGCAAGGGACAAGGGAGGTTAGGAGGCTAATCAGGTCCCACACAGGGGAGACTGCAGAGGCCGCAGATGCGGAGGATGGGGCCGTGTGAACAAGTGGCAAGTTGGGCCGGAGAAAATACAATGTACAGGTATTTGAAGTCACGAGCCAGCTTAAGCTTTCTGGTAGCTCTCTGGCAGCTTTATAGTAGCTTTCTGGCAGCTTCCTGGTAGCTTTGAGGAAAGAGAGAGGATTGAGGAAATACTATGTCTGGCGGTGAGCCACTAGCATAGCGTGTCACGGAAATGTGCATGAGCACCATCCAAGTTGAGAAACGAGCTCCATTCCACAAACGGGAGCACTACTAGGGAAACCAAAATGCGCATTCAACCACAAAAGGGAGCTTGTGCCACGAGAGAAGGAATCCGCATGACCCGATGACATCATTCAATGTGCTGTGCCGGAATTTATATGTATTGATGGTGTGTACCGTACTGTACTACAGGTACTACAAGATTGGAATGGGAGGTGACCCCTGTATTGAATGGAGCTTACCAGGACATAAATGGTAATTGGAACGGGGAATGAGGTTAAGGCAGAGGATTGCATTAGGGACCTTCCACGGCGGCGGTTTAGATGGCGCATTGTGGTGACACCGCTGCTGCTGCTTGCAGTTTCTGTTGCCACGTCGTCGGCATTATACGATGCACGGACATACTCGATTGACGGCACATCAGCATTCTTCATGAGGACGGACCTGCAGCATATGGCAGGCCGTAAGCCTAAGAGTTAATGCGGCGCCCATCTCCTATTGTTATTCCGTGTGCCGACTGTGTGCAGTATTATTATGTGCTGCCTGAGCTGCCAGCGCTACTGCAACTGCCGTTACTGACCCCTGTGCCTGTGCCTGCAGACATGTACCTGGAGCCCACACAGTGTGCCCCTGCTGTGGTGTATCAGTATGATTGATTTGTCTGAATCTACAGCACGGCACTCTACCTGAAGTCCTGGAGCAGTCCTGCAGCTTTCCCCCTATAGGTGGCAAGTTGGAGGGCGGGGAGGTACACTGTGAAGGATACCCAGGGGTTCCACAGGGCGCCCAGGACAATCCCAGCAGGTGGTGGCTGCTGGGACCATGCTGTAGGTGGCGCAAAGGTGCAAGTGGCAAGGGGATTGGGCTTTGCCATCGTGTAAACAAATATTTAAAACATGCCATGCTGAAAGTCACATGCAGGTGCACGAGGGTGAAGCCGGCTGGCCCCATGCATAGCTTGCTTTGCTTGATAGCACCGAAATTATGTTTTGAAAGAGGACAGTCGGGGGCCCCTCATTATAGATGTGCGACTGGTGAAGTTCGCGGATCCTGGGCAGCAGACTGTAAATAACAAGTTACAAGTCATAAGTTCTGCTCAAGTGTGGTGCAGGGGTTTCCATAGAAGCCAGGGGCCTCGTGGATGGTCAATTATTGGATGGTCATTTTAATGTGGCGCCAAGCAAGGACTTTATTGTCCTCCCCTGCTCTCGAGACACGCCTGAGTGTGTGTAGTAGCTGGCCGCTGACAAGTCGGGTGTCGGCTTCCTTGAAGCCGGAAAAAGGGTGGGCCCCCCCTGCATCCGTACAGGCTGGTAGCTAGCGCGGCACGTATGACAATTGATGGGTAGTGTCAACGCGGTGGGAGATGTGCTTTGTTGCAGCAGTGCTGATGGTGTGAGAGCTAAGCTTGCACCGGCGGAATCGTCAGCACCGCCTGCGGGCTCCACGTGAATCGCATCCATCCTGGGTGCATGCTGCATGGACAGTGCGGCAGACCGCAAGTCAGAATGCCCGTGCGGGCAAATGGTAACGAAAGCTGGGTGAATTTCGGTGCTGTCTGTGATGTTTATCCCTGAAGCGCCAGCGGCCTCAGCAATCCGCCCCACAGCCGCAGGCTTCATCGGGGCACACCGCAAGTCTCCGGAGGCCCCGAGCATTCGCTTAAGTGTACAAATGAGCAGCTTGCGTATTTCATAGAGAAATGTAAGCAAATTTGTCGGCCTGCTGGTGGCAAGTCGGAATGCCTGTGCGGGCAAATGGTACCACAAGCTGGGTGTTCAAGTTATCATACGCTGTCATTTCGGAAATCAATGATAAGATACACGGCGCCTTTTTGAGATGAAATTTAGCCCGAGAGGCGTTGATGTGACTATGAGCTCGGTCAATGGAGGCAGCCAAAGTTGTTTGTGCTCATACGTTCCTTGTTGACTACAGGCGAGATACCTTGCAATAGAGAATGCTATATAGTACCGATAACGCGTTTCAGCCGGGTGAAATATTATGTTTGGTCCGTTACACACTCAAGGCCTGGGAGTTCGAGTTATCATACGCCGTAATCTAAGAAATCAAATATGAGATACGCGGTACCATTTGAGATTAAATTTAGCCCGAGAGGTGTTGCAATTGATGTGACTATGAGCTCGGTCAATGGAGGCAGCCAAAGTTGTTTGTGCTCATACGTTCCTTGTTGACTACAGGCGAGATACCTTGCGATAGAGAATGATATATAGTACCTATAACGCGTTTCAGCCGGGCGAGATATTATGTTTGGTCCGTTACACACGCACACACACACACACGCGCACATGCACACACACACGGACATGGGCAATCCTACAGGTCGGGGGCCCCCTGGGCGCTTCGCGCTGGGGCCCCGCCCAGAAAGGCCTCTCGACATGCTGGTGGTCGCGCTTCGCGTGTATTTGTAGAGCCATACTGTGTACCAGCTACTACATCCCCCCCCCCTTTGAAGGGATCCGTCTCGGGCCCTTTTGGCCTCATATACCACCAGCCTGTGCCTACCTTTTCCTACCCTCGGGCAGTGGGTGACCAGTCCACGCCACGTCATGTGCCGGATTCACACGCGCCTAGCCGTCTTCAGATTTTTCAGGCACAGAGACAGTCCAGCCGGTTAAGCTACATTTATTTAAGCGCGATAATCGCTCGCTGAGTCATCAAACCCGTTATTCCACAAAGCGTAATTGGTGGGGGTTGAACCGATAATATTAGGATCGTGAATTATCACGAGGTCTTGATACCAAATGCAGTAGCTGGCTGCTAAAAGGCCTCACGAAATACTGGTGGTGGCACTTTGCACGTAATTGTAGAGCCGTACTCTGTACCAGCTACTACAGCGTGACTGCAGCAGCAGCAACACAACAGCAGCAGCAACACTGCAACAGCAGCAACACTGCAGCAGCAGCAACACTGCAGCAGCAGCAACACTGCAGCAGCAGCAACACTGCAGCAGCAACACTGCAACAGCAGCAGCACTGCAGCAGCAGCAGCACTGCAGCAGCAGCAGCACTGCAGCAGCAGCACTGCAGCAGCAGCAGCACTGCAGCAGCAGCAGCACTGCAGCAGCAGCAGCACTGCAGCAGCAGCAGCACTGCAGCAGCAGCAGCACTGCAGCAGCAGCAGCACTGCAGCAGCAGCAGCACTGCAGCAGCAGCAGCACTGCAACAGCAGCAACACTGCAACAGCAGCAACACTGCAACAGCAGCAACACTGCAACAGCAGCAACACTGCAACAGCAGCAACATTGCAACAGCAGCAACACTGCAACAGCAGCAACACTGCAACAGCAGCAACACTGCAACAACAGCAGCACTGCAACAGCAGCAGCACTGCAACAGCAGCAGCACTGCAACAGCAGCAGCACTGCAGCAGCAGCAGCACTGCAACAGCAGCAACACTGCAATAGCAGCAACACTGCAACAGCAGCAACACTGCAGTACACATCATCATACACAACGTCTCGAGTATGGCATCCTGCCTGCTGCTAGCTTTTCCTGTCGTGTTTAGATGTCTACATCAGCGGCAATAACTGCTGGGAGGTTGGTTTGAGCACCGCTGGGCCACCCTTGTTTTACCGTACATGGGAGAGTCTAAAGTGCTGTTGTTAGGCAGTACTAGCTTGTGAGAAGGGTTCAGCTCCCTTGGCATCTCCCTGAGTAAGTCCTCCATCTCGGACGGGGACTAACGAAATGTCACAATAACAAACAAACTCACAATCCTACGGGATTGCAAACAACCAAAATCCTACGGGATATGCCCAGGGGCACCCGAGGACGTTCACTCGAGGGTGGAGAGGAATGTGAGAAGGGTTCAGACCCCTTGACATCTCCCTGAGTACTCTTTGCTGGTGTTACATAGCTGTTTTGTGCTGAGTACGAGCTGTGCATGTACGGCCGGCCTGAGGGTCGTGCCAGACTGCTTCTGCTAAACCATTGTGTGCTTTTGTTGCATGTTTTCCGTTTTCCGTTTTCCCAGAGCAGTGAGCTCCTGTGAGCATTTGAGAGCATGTGTGAGCACATGTACTCGTATGTGCTTATGTAAGCACTTGTGTACTTGTGTGATATTTTCAAAACCCGCTGCACCACCGGTGGTGGTACCACAGCTCTCGAAGGTAAGACACACATATTGTGCATATCAAGTACGGTGCTGTATGATATGATAAATCGTAGAAATGACAATATGTTCAAATGGCCCAGAAGCCTCACACCCTGTAACAATTGAATTCAATTCAATATCAAGTACAAAGTGTTACGACAGTTATTACGTGCATGGCTGCGATTTCTACGCATGCTTCATTGAATTATCGTGTAATGAGCAGGCCGAAATGCTTGGTGAAGCTGTTGTATCTCGACTTCAGATCGGTGGATGTCAGAATGCCGTAATACGCCCTACAGGATACTACAGAAGCTCGGCATTTCCCATGGTCGTTGAAAACCAGCCACACATATAGTGTTGACAAATTTCCTATCCTTGCTTCTGTTTTGGACCAGGTACCGGGATTGGTGCAGATGCAGCAGATGTTGTATGCCTAATACTTCCTAGCAACTTGTTTCATGCACTCCTTATACAAGTTACAAGTTACACACGAGTGTGGGGGGTCCGTCACGGCCGGGAGGCCATGGACTATAATAATTGATAGTTGATTCCGCTGTACAACCAACTTATATATGCCTGCTTTCCCCCTTCCTAGAGACAGTCGGTGTCGGTGACAGTGGCCACCACCAGCAATAGCTGTGCTGACTCAGGCATTGGCCACTGCTATTCGTTACCTAGACACGGCAGGAGAGAAGCTTCTAGAAGTTCTAGAGCTAACTTCTAAGTAAGGTTCTAAATGGTAGCCAGCGTTTTTTTATTAAGTAATATATTACTTAAAAGGAATAGACAGGCATTTTGGCCTTTGGAAAAAAGGAATGAATTGAGGCCGACCCGTACATTTTCATTCCTCCAGCCAAAAACGTCCATTGCTGCCAGATTGCTCCGTAGTGTGCAGAACTTAGTATTTTCAATCATAGAATAGATATGAGGGGCCGTAAGAAGGTCAAGCCCGTGAGTCAACGCGGCGTAGCAGAATGTATGACCGGTCCCCACATACCGTAGTGCTACTTATAGTTCGTGCTACAATAATTCGGGAGGCACCACGAATATGTAGCACGTACAAATTCTAAGGTATCCCAAGGGACTGCAGCCCCGAAATATCGTACCCTCCGAAGCCGGTCGATCAAACTTCGTAAAAACTAGGATTTCAAGGCGGAAATCAGCTCTTAAATACATGAAATAGTCATAAACGTAGGACATGAACAATGCTGGAAAACGTGCAAGACAGGCAACCCTGCTTCAATGCGGGATGAAACCGCTAGCACTAAACGCCCCGGTGAGCGACCGAGCTCGATTTGCACCAGTTAGGCTTGATGATGCTGTTGTCGAGGCCCAGCGTGAGCGAATGGAGGACGAGGAGGTTGCTAGGCGCGAGCGCAATGCGGTCAATGCTACGGCAGCCGGCGAGGCGAGGCTTGCACTCGTCCAGAATTTGCTAGGGCGTTTCCAAAGTGCGAAAATGGTGAGAGACCATGAGTTTAAGGGTTCCCAGTGGAGGGAGACTGACTGGAAGCTGCAGTCTGAAAAGCCCCGAAACTTTGGAAGGGGCCCCGAAATTTGTATCATGCCCGCAAAATCTGGTCCGGCCTTCCCCGAAATTCAAAGAGCACGTACAAATTTCAGAAAAGTTTTTGACCCCTCCCCGAACAAAGCGCTCACGAACTATAAGTAGCACTACGGTAGCCAAAAATGCAAAAGGCAACGACTCGAACGTGAACAGACACCAAAACAGCAAGGTAAGCCTGAAATGTTTCCTGATAAAGGCGTTTGGGATGGCGGTGCTGTTGTCGGGAATGCATAGGCAATGGTGTTGCTGCCGGTCACTGCTGGCAGCAACACCATTGCCGCCAGCAGCGACCAATGAAACGGGCGCCATTACCCCTGCCCTCCATGGCGGGTGTAATTAGCATAAGCGCAAGCTATCACCTAATCAGCTCGACAACAACAACAGTGAATGCGGTGCGGCCGGTGATCCATTCCAGGCGCCGAACCCGAGCGCTCGCCATGCCAAGCGGGCTCGGACACAGCGCATCCACAAGGGCCAGAGCGACGGTGTATGGCGGGATAAGCAGAAAGAGAACCCCCACAGATCGTATGAGGGGAGATGTAACTTATGGTGGGGGTCTGGGAGGGCGGAAACCCCCCCAGCGCCTCACACTTAAGGAATAAATTGACGACGACCCTAGGAACTTTATTACTTAGGTTGGAATAAATTGAGACCTCACCCTAAACGAAAAAAAATCACTGACGGTAGCCTGTCGGCTTGTCAGTTTGCTAGTTGGTCCGGGAGACCCAGATCACTAGGATATCGTACAATTACCCTTAGCAGTTCACTACTGTAATTAGGCATTCTGCCTACACTATCTGGAGTCTACATATCGGATGGAGTACAGTGTTGGAATTTTGTAAACAGCCAAGGTGAGAACATTCGATCAGTTAGAGCTGTGCCCCTCCAAAAGCAAGGCCAAGTTACATCTCAACAATGCCGTACGAATTTTGGCTCTCTATAGACTAGCTAGCCAATGAGGAGCGCAGCAAAATGCGTTGCTTATTGTAAACTGCAAAAACACGCGTGGAGTATCGAACATTTCAGCGCAAAATGCGCTGGAGGCTTTGGCCAAGAGTATGTCTGCCTCAGTGTCAGGTTAAACCTCAATGCCGTATACGCAGCATGGCGCCAGCCAGGCGGGGGTTGACACAGGACTAAACATCCAGAGCAGCTGTTTCGAAAGATCCATCAATCATCCTCATACACAAATACTATAGAAGTATTTCACATCTGTTATCGACTCATCCCAGCTGTGCACGGATAAGATAAGGACTTACTTGGAAACATAAAAAGCGGCGACGGTGGTAATGCATTTTTTGGTGAAAATGCTGGGGGCTGTGGAGGTAATGGTAGAGGAGGCGGTGTTGGGGGCCATGGTGGAGCTGGTGCTGGTGTTGCTGGTGGTGCTCTTGGTGGTGGTGCTGGTGGTGGTGATTTTGGTGGTGATGGTGGTGATGGTGGTGATGGTGGTGATGGTGGTGATGGTGGTGCTGGTGGCGATGGTGGTGATGGTGGTGATGGTGGTGATGGTGGTGCTGGTGGTGCTGGTGGTGCTGGTGGTGCTGGTGGTGCTGGTGGTGCTGGTGGTGCTGGTGGTGCTGGTGGTGCTGGTGGTGCTGGTGGTGGTGGTGGTGGTGGTGGTGGTGGTGCTGGTGGTGGTGCTGATGGTGCTGG